GACAAGAAATGCCTTTGCTCTAGAGCTTGGACAACTTGGACAACTCGGAGAGGCCCCGACCCGATCGACGCGATCAACTACAGTGGCTTTTGGCGTCAGCATTTGCGACAAGAATAACTTTGTTCTAGAGCTCGGACAGCTCGGACAGACCCTGCTCGGACTTCCAGGGGACCGAATCTGAGGATCAAGGACTTGAGAACGTACCCGCCGCGGCGGCCCCCGCCACCGTCCTCGCTTGGTGCTTCGTCGCTCTCGTTGTCTGGGGGGGCCCTGAGATTGGAGCGGTCCGGCAGGATCTCTTGGTCCCACTCGTAGCACCGGCACGTGCCGTCGAGCCCCACGTAGCTGCTGGGAGCGGTGTACAGCATTCCGCCACGCCCGCGCACGTCGATGCCCACCGGTTCGCCCTTGTACCGGATCCGTTTTCTATTTGCGCAGTTGCGCAGGCCGGCCTCTGCGGACTGCGACAGGGAGAAGAGGACGTGCATGCCCCCGTTGCCGGTGGTCAGGCGGGGCGTGTCCTCCAGAAAGAGCCCGTGCTCTTCGAGCATACGTTCGACCGCTTGGAAGCCCCCGTCCTTCACGTCGACGTCGACCGCTAGGATGTCGGACGCCTCCGTGACGATGGCGATGGTGTTGCGGGACTCTTGGAGGCAGTTCCCGAGGTTGGCCTCGTTCCAGGGCTTGCGGGAGGGCCAGCGACCTGGCACCTTTCGGACTTCACCGTTCGGAAAGCGTTTCTCCTGGAGATCGTGGGTGAGGGTCACGACGCCGAGCTCGTGGAAGTGATGGGCGGCAGCCAGGATGGGGTCCGGGCTTGGTCCCTGCAGAAAGAAGAAAGCAATCTCAGATTGATTGCAGATTGATCTACATAATACTCCGAGCGCGATCCGTTCACAGACGCTTGACAATCCGAGTGCCTACACTTTCGGACTATGCCCCGCAGCAAATCAGCATGACGTCAACAAGAACGTAGCCCATTTGGTAAAGCCTGGACGCCTGGACAGCCCATCACTTGCCAGACCATGAATCGAAATCGGCACTGTCCAAGTTATTCCGAGCTCCACAAACAAACAGCTAAGAGCTTGTGGGATGACGTCAGCAAGACAGCGCCGCGAATACTTTGGCAAAAAACTTGGACACGTGGACAAACGCACAAAGCCAAAACTTCCACTAAAAGCAAGCCCATCAGGGGCGAACGGCGACAACTCGGGCTGTCCAAGGTGTCCAAGCTCTAGAGCAAAGTATGTCCGGTTTCAGCTTGCTGACGTCATCAAGTCCTTGCAGCTGCACTCGAGCAGAGTGTGTCCGAAGGGTCCAAGCTGTTCCACCTTTATTTATGTTCTTTCAGGGCTGGAGTGATGACCTCAGCAGACAAGCTTGAGAGACGGCTCTTCCAGGCGCCGGAATGATGACGTCAGCAAAATTTAGCTGCATAAAACTTGCGCCAAACTTTGGACACTTGGACGGACCACCGAGCCCGGACCAGCAAGCCCAGACTGTCTTGAACCGACTTGCAAAAGGCGAGTTCTGTCAAGTTCGGCCGTGAGTCTTGAGATAGCCTGTACAATGACGTCAGCGGCTGATTCCGGCCAAGCCCGTTGCGTCATCAGCACCAGAGCGCATTAAAGGATTACTTCCACGCCCACTTCGCGCACCTGGATTGGCGGCCAAGTGCAGAAGGGTGCTTCGAGCTCCAAATAATGAGATGAGTCAAACCCGAGCCTACCTGGCGGAAGGGCGTCGGCTCCTGCACCGCAGCGCGGGCGTTGGCGCGCGAAGGAAGTGCTGACGTGGCCGCAGACATGGAGGCATCTCGGACGGATGGCCCGGCAGTAGCGGCCGTTGTCGCTGCGACGGGAGCCATCGGTTCGCCGTGCTGGGACACGGCCTGCACAATTTCCAAGTCGATCACATGAGAATAGAGAAGCCGAAATCAATCATCTCACCCGAGTTAACCGCACAAGAAAAGCAAATAAGACCACAACCGGGCAAGCTCCGATCAGATGTTAGGAAAGGAGACACGCCGAAGCTGATCGCGCGCGCATCAGCTTTACGAATTCGTGTACATCGTCAAACAATGTCGTGAATGCTTGGGAATGTACACGAAGGGAGGGCAAATATGATCGACTGTACACTTTCATACGAATTGCTCAGGCCTCAACTCCGACAAGAATTTGATGCAACTTCCGAAAGACAGTCGACCATGGAAAGTGGGCACACCTGGCGCGCAAGAGACTCCCTGCGCTCCTGCCCCGAACGAGGGTCGATGCGGCAGATGCTGAAGTACTGGCGCAGCTCCTCGGATTCGCGCTCGTCGTCCCAGTCCCAGAAAGGGTCGTCGTCATTACGAAGGTCCCCCCACTCGCTCGATGTAGCAGACTGCCCCCCTTCCTCGGAGCCCGACTCGTCAGCTTCCGCTTCCGCTTCCGACAAGATCACCCGGCGACGACGCCGCTGACGGGGCTGCGACTCTCCACTCTGCTCGCTCTCTACGCGCTTGACCCGCTTGCGTGGCCCCCCCAACTGAACGCCCGACTCGGTCTTTGACGGCCAGAGCTCTGCGTCCATCGCAGCGTACTCGCAGAAGGGGGGGCGGCCCAGTGCTTGAGGAGACTCGTTTCTAAAGGCACGGTCCTGTGAGGTCTCCTCGTCAGAGGACTCTTCCTCCCGGTTGAATTCCACGTCCTCAATGTCCTCTCCCTGGGAGTCTGCCTCGATGCTCCGACCGCCACTCTCCTGATAGGAATAGAAAGAAACGTATTGATCAGATCGAGCAACGGCTCACGTTTAAAATGGTGACAAGTCTTGTCCTATGATCGACCGTACCTTCAGATCGAGGTTTGTAAGCCCTTCCTCGTGGTAATACAAACGGACCAAAAGCGCCCGACTGAGGACTCAGTGGAAGGTCGTAGGTACAAACAACGACGATTCGTGGCTGAATTCTAACGTAGACTGGGGCCGTTGTTGAAAGCCCGTGGCCGAAAACGACATACACGAGCTATCATTACAGAAATTTCGCATAAGAGCCCCGTAAAATGCAAAACGCTGAAGATTGGCGGGACATCGGGCGCCCTGTGGATCCACAAATGCAAGGAAAAACGGGCTCAAGGCAGCCCTCTATCTGATGGTCCACGTCGGCATCGGATCATATGGAGCTGTCGCTTCAGCTGCCAACTCAGAACATTAAGAAAACCTCCAGCCCTTGCGATATCTGACTTGAGACTTCCAGCCTCCGAAATTGGCATCATCACGATTCTTTCTAAGCCTGTTCACATGGGCGTCCAAGATGTCCAAGATGTCCAAGCTTTTGCTCAAACTTTTTCGAACATTGATTTCATGACGTCATCACTACTCTCAGACCTATGGCCTGACCTTCGGATGGATGCCCGAGAAGGTCCGAGCTCTAACCCGAAGTACCCTGCTCTGTGAACTGCATTTTCACATTGTCGAATCACCGAATGTTGTGAACAGCACCATAAGAGATGCAAGAAAGCGCTCACCTCCATCCTCGCGTCCTCCACATCCCAATCTCCTCTGCTCTCCACAGGCGTCGGGCGCGACTGCGACAAAGGCGGGAACGAGGCTGAGGCTGAATCACCCCGTCTGATGACGGCCCCGGGTTGCTCTCAACGCAACCAATCATCAAGAGGGTTGCTGCACGGATTGGAAAGACGACGATTAGGGCGCACTGCAATGCTCGATTCCCTCAGTGGACCCGGAACAGTAAGATCAAGCTGGACAAAGGGCTTCATTGTAGGGCGGAAAAACATCAGGCACTGCTCAGAGACGTGCCACGACTGACTTCCTAGGGCTTTCAGCGCCTCACCCAGCAGTGCATGGCTCATGGGCTTCCTGGAGGGCGGCGCCACCTTGAAGTTGGCCTCATCCCAAACTGCAGAAGCAAAAAGTGGCGCATTCAGCTGAAAGCTGCAAGACATTGCTGACGTCAGCAAATCGAGGACGGAAATACTTTGCGCAAAAGCTAGGACAGCTCGGACTGGCCCTGCCCAAGTCGACGCTGACACTTACAAAGAGATTGATGATGTCAGCAAACGGAATGACAGAGAACTTTTGCGCCAGAGCATGGACAGCTCGGACAGCTCGGACGGGCCCTGCTCGAGTCTGGCACTGCCAATTACAACGGACTGATGGACTGCTGACGTCAGCAAGCTGGACGAAGAGAATTTCGCCAGAGCTTGGACAATCTGGACAACACGGACAGCCCCTGGTCGACGCTGCGGATTGATGACGTCAGCAAACGGGTGACAAAAGAAACTTTGCGCCAGAACTTGGACAGCTCGGACACCTGCTGAAGCCCATGCTGTCAGCTTTAAGAGATTGATGATGTCAGCAATCGAAGGACGGAACTACTTTGCACCGGAGCTTGGACAGCTCGGACAGACCGTGACCCAATCGACACGATCAACTACAGTGGCCTGATGACGTCAGCAAATCGGAGGGCGGAAATACTTTGCGCAAGAGCTTGGACAGCTTGGACACACCCTGACCCATCGATGCAATGAACTACAAGGTCGTGATGACGACATCAAGTCGAAGGACGGAAATCCTTACGCCAGAGCTTGGACAGTTCGGACAACTCCGACAGGCCCTGCCTAAGCCTTATGCTGTCAGTTACAAGGCTGATGATGTCAGCAATTCATGGACGAAAAAACCTTGCGCCACAGCTTGGACAGTTCGGACAGACCCTGACCCAATTCGAGCTTCAACTGCTGGTAAGAAACGACAGTACCATCGATTATGGTGAACGGGCTCACTCACCTGGCAGGCGGCAAGAGGATTTTGCTGGTTCCGCAGACGAGCTGGCCTTGTCCATCTTCCGCAGCTCCTCTTCGAGTCTCACCACCTCCGCTTTCAAACGGCGCTGCAATCGGTCCTGTACCCAGACTGCAAAAGGCAGGCGCACTGATATGAGCTCCTGTGTGCTGACAAGCGGGCGTAGAAACCTTGACTGGTCAGTCGGGCCCAGCTGCATATGAATTCCTGCGCGCTTCATGCCGCTAGCAGAGGCCTCCCAAATCTCTCACCTGCACGGTCTTTGTCGATGCAGAAGCAGCCGTTGAAAGCGGAGTGCGCGCTGCAGAGGTATCTCGTTTCCCCCCCCTCCTTGCTTCCACGAAGCCCAAACTCCGCGGTGGCGCCGCATCGGTGGCAATGGAGACTGTGCGGATCTGGGAAGGATGTGGAGAAATTCAAGTTTCAGGTGCGAAGCTTGTGCAGTCTGAAAGCGCTGAAGCATTGCAAGCTGGGCTTGACCAGTCTGTCCAAGTGTCCAAGGTCTGCGGTAAGATTTTGAGGGCATCAATCTGCTGACGTCATCCTACAGGCTTCCACATGATTGTTTGGCAAAAGCTGAGACAGGCAACTGGTGGGCACATAATGCTCTTGCTATATCGACAGCCCCGGATCCTATTCCCTCTATCAGTGAATCACAACGGAGAGTGTCCAAAGAAGTGTCCAAGGAGCGCGAGGTTTGCCCTTGGAACCCACTTCAAGTTCTTTATCCAACTCAGACTTGGGAGCAGCAACGTCGATTGCGCTTCAAAGAACGACAGACTGAAACTAGACACATAGCGAGCACTCACCTGCGCTATGCATGTTGATCGCTAAGCGTGCGCTGGGGCCAGACCCATCTCCAGAAAGGAATTGTTCAGCGCCTGCTGCGTGGATTGCGGCGCACTGCTTGTGAGGATCTTGACTCGTTGAAGTGCAGGATGAGCCACCCAGTGCTAATGTACACCGCGCCTGCAAGAATAAGCATGCACTAAGTCCAGAAGAAGATGTAACCTCTGATTGGCACTGATTATGCTGGCATCACATGGTGCCAGGAATGCGATGCCTGCTCGAAACCATCTGCTTGACTTTGTGATGGGAGCTGACAGGGCCTCCGAAGCTGGATACTTAACATGCCTCATGATGGTCTTTGTCTCAGAATCGCTGAGACCGGAAATTAATTGAATCCTTTGGATTGATCCTACCTGCTGCAACCTGACACCGCAATGGCTCTCAAAGCACACATACCACAACCGCTGAGGCACAGCCGCTTCTTCAGTTGCCAGCAATCAACACTTGAGGGACACCACAAATACAAGTCTATAAAGATGTTTTGTAGACGTAAAACCCCGGCAGCTTCAATAGCCACCGTTGCAGCTCAAAAGGTACCTCGTCAATGATGATTCATTCAGCAACAAGATTCAGCTTGAAAAAGGAATAGATGCAGATAGGTGCTCACCACAGAAAGTTGCGCTCCCTTGCCTCCAGCTCCCCGAATATCTGCTCAAGCCTGAGGTTCTGCAGATCGGTGTATTCCCCCCTTGTGACTGCTGGAAAGAGCCCTCTGGAGCACCTTATATATGGTGCACCGCCGGAAGCCGCCGACAGTTGCCATCCCCTGCCAGCCAGCCTGGCAGATCTTTCTAAGCAAGCTGAGTCAGAAGATGCTCTGCTGACTCGGAAGATGGACAGCTGGCAGGGCTGCAAATAAGTGCCAGAGCCCGCCATTGCGTGCCGCAATGCGCCAATATGCCAGCAGGCTGCATAGGTGACAGCTTGCAGATTGCATGCAGAAGACAACCTGGCAATCCCCATTACTGAGGTACACTGCGAGAGAAGAGCCAAAACAGAAGAGTTGTCGTTGAGACACGCGCTACAGAAGAAACCTACAACCTGCTTCATGGCAGCCATTGCCGAGGAGTCTCGGAAGAAGCCAACCCCTGCAGTGGCTGGGCCTGGGCCTAGCTAGGTCACGGCTCTTGTTGCCCAGTCTCGTATGTCCTACGGTATATAGAAGGTTACGGGCCCCGAGGGAGCGTTCAGGGCCCCTATAGAGTGCCGCAGAGTCTAAGGATCGCCCGGGATAGGGTGAGTCCAAGCTCGAACAGCTTGCACCTTAGGGAGAATTTTGAGACCTGCCGTTTGTATGCAATGGGAGAATCGAGGCGTTTTTGCCCCTATGCTCTCTGTCCATGCGGTTGGCTGACAATTCTAAACAGAATCGGTCTTTGTAAACAGAAATCGGGTCTTCGGTTACCGATTCTCATTCAACACTTCACGTCCCATGCAACGCCTTCGTCGACTCTCATGAAAGGGGGTGGTCGGGAGCATAACCCGGTCAGTTTTAAGCAGCCTTTGAACCCGCGGGCCGGTGTGGTTCCAAGGGGAAACCCCGTACCGAGGGGGCTGCCCACCTTCCTCCCTGCGGGGAAAGGATGGGGGGAAACAAGTTTTTGCCCCTACGTCACTGCTCGGTTGGAGCAAAATCGCCTGGCGCGGTGGGTATGTATTTCCTAATCTAACGAGGAGCCAAAAACTTTGTATACTCGAACTTCGCACTTTCCTCTTTATTTTTTGTAAGAGGAAACCCATTTGCGTTTGTAGTACAACTTTTCTGCATGAGAGAAGGCGGATTAGCAATTACATTAATACCTTAAATGATTGCAATTGTGTATGTACGTATTTCCTATTCTGAGGACGAGCCAAAAACTTTGTATATTGAAACTTTGCACTTTCCTCTCCTTTTTTTGTAAGAGGAAACCAATCTGCGTTTGTAGTACGACTTTGCCGAGAGAAGGCAGATTAGCAAAAACATACATACCTTATAAGCTTAGGGACTCGAGGCATGGGCCAACCTACCTAAGATAGTATAATTGACTGCAAGGACTTATGTATGTATGTATTTCATAATCTGAGATCGAAAGGTTTTGTGTACTAGAACTGTTCACTTTCCTAACTTTATTGTGAGGAGGAAAACCAGTTTACGTTTTAAGTACGACATTTTGGAGCAAGGAGAGAATAGCAAATACAAACATATTGGTAAGGATATTATAATTGATAGAGGAGAGTAATGTATGTACGTATTTCCTGTTTTGCATGGAATCCAGAAAGTCTATATTGCAAGACTTTTCAATTTCTACTTCTGTTTTTGTACAAGGAAAGAAGGATCGCGTTTGTAGTACGACCTTTCCGAGCCGGGCCAAATTAGAGAATACATACCACTGAAGTGGCTGCAATCTACTCAAAAGCAGTCTATCGCCAACATACTGACAACGCGGCATACGTGCGATGATGCACCATCACGAACGTCTGATCAGCTACAATCTTTAAACGACAAGGGTGTTGTTGGCAATTGGCCACCAATATGACGATTCAAACTTACTTTGCTGCCGCCCCTTGAACATTGTCAAAACCGTTCAGCGTGCCCTTAAAGGGCGGCATGTTATACGAGTTCGCGCGTCAGCTCTGAAAAGGCTAGGTAGTTCGCTGCTATTCCGATTTGCTTTCGTGTCAAGACATGTAGCTCGGGAATGACTGCAATTCTGGTGCTCTTAGAAGCCCTTCCTCCAAGTTTCCCCAGTACCGCATCATCAGCTCAAACTGCGGCAGGTTGAATAGCGGCTGCTCACGTTGCGTTTCCTTATAGATGCACTCGGTAAGGTCATCGTTGGAGGGATGAGGCGGCGAGATGTTGGACGATGTTCCGAGCAGCGGGTTTCTTGCGGGAGACTCAAGAGGTGCTACCGGATGATGGGGCTGAAGGTTGTCAAGGTCCTTCAGAAGATCGTCCACTGCGACAGAATAAGGGCTATGGTTCAAACCGAGAGGCACATTGCATCGAGAGGTGACCAAACTTTGCCAATTGAGCTCGACATCCGTGAAGCCTAAGAGCACAGAAGTATTCTGGAAACAAAACACTTCGGAACTGCAACCGCCCATGATAACGCCTGGGAAGCGCTGTCCGGGACTGATTTCATGTAGGTAGAAAGTTCCTTGTGTGGCTTTTAGCACATCTAGTGAACCACCAAGGTCCTGACAAATGCTAGAAGTTACATGAAACATGCATCCGAAGAAGCTAGCATCCGTCTTTGTCAAAGAAAAGCTTTTCTGGAACCTCAGCACCAGATAATCGCTGCTCGACCTCAAACTCCTTGAATCTGATAAGGGTTACTGTCTAATGAGAGGAGTGACTTACCCTTTCGTCGAGATGCAACTTCTGCCTTCTTGCACACCCCCGCAAAGTACCGGAACGCTGCACTCTGGTTTGTAAACTGCACCTCCCTGACGACCGCTCTCCCATCGGAGTCCTGCGCGCCATGGAATACGTTCGAGTCCCCTATCAGGTTCGTGAGCATGACGGGCATGCCTACTCCCTTCCGCCGAGAGACGAGCGTGCACCCTACGAACTGGCCAAGAGCTTGGCCGCGGAACTCCTTATGGTTTTTCTTCCATGCTGCTTCAGTCTTGGTGTCGACAATGCCGGATGTCTGCAGTAGAATGCAGAGCAAGGGTCAACAGATTGCGAGGGTATTGTAGAACCGCAGAAACTAGTGAAAGCTCTTGTCTCTGTCTACGCCCAGACAGAAGCTCCTCGTTCCTTGACTTCAAGGGTGAACTCAAGGGTGATGAGTTCCGGAGGAGTATTAAAGAACCTCAAAACTAGTAGAGAATCTTGTCTCCGTTTATGCTTAGACAGAAGCCCCTCGTTCGTTGCACAGAAAATAAGGGATGTGCTCCTTTTTCAGTGTCGCTTCTGGTCAAACAGGGCCTACCGAAATGAACATTAGCAGACTCCAATACAAACCTCCACATGCGATATCTGAACGCTTCAGCTCACCTTATCCAAGACGTTCCTTGGATTCTCTTTCGCTTGTGCCTCGAATTCGTCCATGACAAGGGCCAAGTCCGTTTTTGTCTCCCGCAATTTCAGCCTTTTGGTAGGAGTTGCATCCACCTTGCTGAAGATGTTCAACTGGCAGACGTTCACTGCCTTGTACCCCTCCAGGTGCGCCGAGATATTCTCTTGGACAAAAGACTGAGCGGCGGTCATGTTTGCGCTGTCATCTTCGCGGACACCTGGCAATACAACATGTTATGATTCAGTTAAGAGACGTGGCTGACGTTTAGATCAAGCGAGCGGAGTTTTAAGGTCTGAACAAGCGCAAGATGAGACTTGCTTGAATCAAACGCACTGGCGTGGAGCAGCTTCAGCGCCTCTATGAATACTCAGCGGTTCCTCCAGCAAGGTTGCCCTAGCAACCAACAGGGAAACGCCCTCTGAAGATTTTGACGCTATCTGAACTGCAACAACCAGATGCCAAAGATACGGAAGAATGCCCACACTAAGATCAATGCAAACATGGACAAAAGCAAAAAGGTGCTTGCCTGCTTTCCAGTTGAAGACTCCGCTGTTGTCAGCATCTAAAGCAGGGTCCAAGTCCCCAATTATCGTCTCCAAACCCTGAAAGCCCATCCTGCCCAACGCCTCCATGGCGTCCTCCAGGTCAGACTTTGACCCTCCTATTGAAATCTCGTCTGGGAAGTCCACGTTGAATTCCTTCTTTGCAACCCGACGCACGATGGCTACATCACAAAAGTAGGAGGTAATTACAGAAAGTGTCAGCTCTTCTGTTTCTCTACCTCTTGGAACTACAACGGGTAGTCCAACAGATACCGCAGCTTAGATCCCACAAACCAACTAGTCTGCTCGGGTGCAAGAAGAGCCTTTTGCCGACCCTGCAACAAAGTGCCTGCAAGAGCTTATACGTAGTGCAAACTCCAAAAATTACCTGCAATGTCCTCTGGAAGCTGTAGTTGGATGACCGGCGGAGTAGCACCTGAAAGAATGACAGCTCACATTTCATCATGAGCCGCTAAAAGCCTCCCAGCAGTCCTAACAATGTGTGGCTCTAAAGCGATTGCTCGCTGCCTAAAGCAGTTTGCCCTGCTTAGACTGTACAATCGCCCTGCTTGAACAAGGAACAAGGATACTCAACCGCAGCATTTCCATGCTCCGAAAAAAGATAAGAGCAGATGGATATATCAGCGACATGAGCATTTTGAGCTGTTCGCAAACCAAAACCCTAAGAAAGTGGGGATGACTGGTTCCTTACAAACACACATGTTTCTTCCTTGTAATCAGCAATACTAAAACTGCGGTGCATGCTCGGCAAAGAAGCTAAAATGGAGAGAGGATTCTTCATTGTCAGACAAACTTCAGCAGATTCCTAAAAGGAAGGTGACCACGAAGCTTATGCTGACACGTTGACCAGGAAGGCTGTGCAACAAAGGGAATCCTAGCACCACCTCTGCAATCTACTTGCAGAGGTGCACTGACCTGCTTGAAGCCCCTGGACCTGCGCCCCACTGCTGGTTTCACTGATGGCTGATAACTGAAGACCTGAAATGGAAATGGAGAGTAGCAGAGAGAGTCAGGATTTTTGCACAAACAGAGGCAGCAAGCAAATCAAAAGTGGATGTTGGAAATAGAGCACTCTAGCATGGCTTCGGTGACAGTCTCTCTGATCTACACCTCTTCTGGCATGCTCTGCTTACACATGCGCAACCCCCAGCGTCACATCAGCAAACTGCTTCGAAGTCTGCTTTGCTAACACTTCCTCGGTATGCTGTACATGCTGCCTCTTGTCTGTTGAACACTCTGACCACTAATGAAAAAGCGCAATTTTTAATTCTGCTTACGTACTTGACGTAAGTGCCAGAGCAGCAAGAATATTTGGATAAAACCTACCTAATATCTGGCCGCATAATCAGGACCTACAGTAATTCAGCTACCTGCTCCAGCGATGATGGCACAGCAAAGACCAACTTCCATCATGAGAAGCACATTGGTAATGCTTCTCATAGACCATTCAACTGCAGGAAGGGGTATCCACAGCAAGAAACCCTGCCCAACTCCTATGATGCTGAGACTGCAAGCAGATGGTGCAATAGGATCGGTAGGCCCCTACCTGCAGGAGGGGTTATCCTCAGCAACAGCTCCCGCAGCTGGTTCTCCTTGTACTGCAGCCGCCCCTTCTCCTTGCGCAAGTCTTCCTCTCTCTTCAGCCAGATGCCCTCATGAGGACCACCTTTTCTCCACTCCGCTTCTGCATTGGCAATGGCCTGTTCGACTTGCTCGATCTTCGCTTCCACCCCCTCAATCTGCTGGTTGACTCGCTCGATCTTCTCCTCCATAGTGGCTGTTCTCGTTTTGTTGGTAGAGCAGACTGCCCCGACTCCACGGCACCTCTGCAGAGGGAGCCAGCGCTGTCCCTGCGCACCATCCAGCCGCCCTGAAAGTACTCCTTTATGTCTCCCACTATCTAACCCTTAACCCTCGCGACGTTGAATGGCGATCAGGACCAAGTGGCCAAGCTTGCAATGGACAGGAGCCAGGCGGTCAGCTGGATGGCTATGGTCAGTCTTGTATGTTCCCGGCCTGTGCCAATTGGTTCAGGCCCCGGGCTCTTCGTTCCTTCCCCCGGGAGCGCTGGGTAGGGCCGCTGCAGCCTGGCTCGCGACCGGACAGTACAGACCGGGCCGGGGCAGCCCGGCCGGGCAAGAAAGTCCTGGGTCCTGGATATTGTACAGTAGGTCCCAACATACTGCCCAAATAGCTTGAGAGCGTCGAGATCGATGCGCTCGAACTTTCGCAAGGTTCCGCAGCCGGCTGACGGACCCTCGATATAAAAGTTCATCGCGTCAATATCCTGAACTTAGAGACTACAGCAGTTTCGGAGCAAGCTGCCCGGTTGCGATCGATAGATAGGGTCTATTTAGTCTAAATTTAGGCTAAACTTAGTCAAAGTTTACTTACGTGGCATGACTTCGTGACGTCTGCACAGTAAAGCTGAAGTTGCGGCACGGTGAACACTTTTTGGTTAGGGTTTTTAGTTTGGTTGCTCAGGGTCTGCCAATCTTAGGGCACATTGCTGTTAGGGCACACTAGAGTTACACGGTACATATGCCCGGTGATTGGACGATGTGCATTTAAGAACTTAGAATTTGACGTGGAGGAAACTTTAATGACGTCAAAAGGATAGCCTAAACTTTGACTAGATTTAGTGTCTAAATAGACCCTATCTATCGGTCGCAACCGGGCAGCTTGCTCCGAAAATGCTGTAGCAACCGGGCAGAAGGAGAAGGCTCGGAGTAAGGGGTCGGCCGATAGACTTAGAGGCTTGAGATCGAGCCGAAAGGCAGTTCCAAGGGGCCCGGGAAACTCGGACCGAGGAGGAGGGTGGAGCTACCGGGGACAGCGAGGTGTCGGTGACTTAGAGGAATGCGCTGCCTCAGGATAGTGACATATTCACGTTATATTTAACCGCAAGGACTTATGTATGTATGTATTTCGTAATTTGAGATCGATCCAAAAACTTTATATACTAAAGTTTTGCACTTTCCTCTTACTTTTTTGTACGAGGAAAATGCATTTGCGTTCGTAGCACGGCTTTTTGGAGAGAAGGCAGACTAGCAAATACATACATACCTAAATGATTGGAGTTAGGTATGTATGTATTTCATAACTTGAGGACGAGCCAAAAACCTTGTATACTAAACTTTTGCATTTTCCTCTTACTTTTTTGTAAGAGGAAAATGCATTTGCGTTTGTAGTACGACTTTTCTGAGAGAAGGCAAATTAGAAAATACATACATACATTATAAGCTTAGGGACTTGAGGCATGGGCCACCCTTTCACCCTTTACCGCCCTCAGTCTGGCACTGCCCGGCTATGGGAAAGGCCCTAACACCAGGCACTCGAGGCCTTTTCGACCGCGGTCGGTCTATCTGCAACCCCTCCGGTCCGGGGGGGCTGACGTGGTGGCCTCTGAGTGGCCCAATTTTAATGCCGAACTTCAAATGGCTTGCTGCAGCAAGGCAAATGAAGTTCGGCATTAAAATTGGGCCACTCACAGGGCGCCATGTCAGCCCCCCTCGGCGGTCCGGCCAGACCGGGGAATTTTAGGGTTTGGTGGCGTCGGTCTGGCCCCATGGAACATACTCGAACCGCCGGGCAGTGTCCAGGTGTCCGA